AGAAACCGAGACGAAAACGCGTACGTTTTCTCGTCGCGGAATCTCGCGTCGGCACGGGAATAATGAAAAACCTGACAGGGACGCGATTGTTCCATTGGTGGAATGGTTAAATGCATCCGGTACTGTCGACGCATCATTTATTATTGGCCCACGTTCTGTGTCCATTGTACTGGGAAAAGTCAACATTGGTCAGACAGCTGGCTAGAGGAGTTCGCGTTTCTAAATGGATCCGAGAAACGGAGCTAATGGAAAATCGGCTAGAGGATAATAGAAGTGATAGAGACACCGGAAGCTTTGTCGAGCTTTTATCGAGCTTAAACCGTTACAAAGAGGTGCGCAAACAGCGCGCACGGTGTTAATCGTGGCCGGGGGTATCGAGGTCGAGGGATTTTATTCATCGATACTACGGAGCCGCAGCCGCTTTCACATTATGACATCATTTTCGACAATTTTATATACTTTAAGCGAAAACAAATACCACGCGTGGTAGCGATTGTTGACCAGAAGTAAAATTAGCAGCAAGCATAATAATCGTTCGGCTGAGGCATCATGCTGGAGGACCTCAAAACTACGTACGTCATAATTGCAAACACATGCCACCCAATTATGCTTAACACGCTCGGATAATATTTACTAAAGCCTAAATATACATATAATGTCTATTAATAACCTCGTTTCTAAAAGAGATGTTTAATTAACGAATTAGCCGATTGCTTATTACCTATTTACAGTTTTCAGTGTGTTCACTCGTAATTAAAACCCTTGGCCATTAGTTAGTGGGGAAGAGAGTAACGTTGAACTGTTAATGCATCGCGTGTAGAGTGAAATATGAAATCTTGATGAGGAACCGAGACGATCGACCGTACTAATTACGGTTGCTTTGAATTTCAATTTATCGTGGAAAATATGTAATGAACATACGAGTGAAAAATGAAATGCATAAAAAACATCTTTATTAATCAACCCCTCGGAAGTTTTACGAATAGGATCGTACATGGTGAACAGGGAATAATTGGAAGTTCAGATTACATTTATATTAAATCGAAATTTAAGAAAAATAATTGATTTTTTTATGTAAGATTCTTTGATCGGAGAGACAAATTCTTCTTGGCTCGTAACAGATATCATATGATCGATCCGCGCAACACTAGGCTAAGTGGAGGAAGATACGACTTAACAGGCGATTGACACCGAATAGAGAAGAGTAAGTAGTCGACACGTGTCAGCGCGAGGATCGCGTGCGTAAATTTTCTTTCTCTCTCTGTCCCTCGCTTGAAACCCGCAACGATCCGGCAGCCAGTCCTAAGCCAGAAATAGCTACTCCGGTGGGCCGCTGTATTTTTAAATAATTTCTCGACGACCTACGACAATTGCATGCTCCGCCGTGTGTCTCCTTTTTTTTGGGGTAATCAAAATTTTATTCTTCCATCCCTTGCACGTAACCATTATTAAATTTATACATATACCATGACTCTATCTTATACAGGCTCACTCATTGAATACGAGACACATTCTGAAACAGTTTAGATTAGTAATCCTAGGATAGTACGAAAATGATTGTCACCTTTGATGCATTTATTATATCATGCAGAGGGTGAGAAGCAGTAAAATTTCTCTTTATTTGTAACCAAATAATGCAATTGACTTTGCACCGTTCTAATACAATGATGATATTCGAAAGTGAGAGCTAGAAGTATCACATGAAAAAATAGAAGCGTTTGGCTGACGCGGCGATCTATTAACAAACTTTTATTGCTCCTCGCATCGTCTCTTGAAGCATGACATATTTTTCAACTGGGAATCGAATATTGCAAAGCTTTCATAATTTGCATGGATGCCACTCTGTATAATTCGGAGCACAAATATACATTCCGCTCCGAATATTCCCATTTCCATAGTGCGAATTATTAGTATTTACACGAGGAGACATGCACAGGCCGGTTGATAAAAAGAAAATAGCGAAGAATAAAGCTCGCAGCGATTTCAGGAACCCTGTCCCTCATCGATTGAACAACAAAATTCGGCGACATAAGCCAACATTGGTCATTACCTATACGTGGTACACTTGTTTTCCGAGCCAGTGATGATTAAAAGGCCAATGCATGCAGCTGGGTCTGTTTTGGTTGGAGGGTATAAATACAATGGGCCGAAAGCCGGGAGCTCTACCTCACGTAGAGTAAACACACGCGTTTCCCAGCATCACGGGCTGGTACACAGGTAAAGAAAATTTCGAACGGTGCTTCGATATGACCGCAGAAATTCCGAGGGAGGCGACTCCTCTATTCAAATATCCACTTAACGAAGTTTTCCCGGGGACGTAAAAGCGTCCGGGGAAATTCCCTGGATGAAGATTCCTAAGCCGGCTATACTGAGCGAACAAAAATCCGGAGGTGTCGCTTTCCTTAGAGAACCGAGGGCTCGATTAATGCAAGAGAAGCTATTGAGTTGAAATTATATTCTTATTCTGTTTATAAAAATACCACCCGGGAACACGTACATAAATAATATGTAAATAGTACATAATGAGTCTTTCACTGCCAACAAACGTGTCACGGTGCGCGTAAAGTACGTGATACACGATTGTTCCATTGCGTGGAACAGTCTGATCTCGTATTGTTGCCGATAAAACGATAACAAGTTACATCACGGTGCGATTATGTACGTTGACGTAAAGCGGATAAGGTTTCTGCCACCTGCGGCCGAGGGGACCTTCCACCTGATTTACAATGCCCGTAAATAAATAATTTACGACGTGCGTAAAGATCAAACAGGGTCAAAACGCGTGAAATTTTCCCGTTATAAACCACCAGCTGGTTCAAAGGGGCGGCGCGTCGTCGTGTGCCAAAAGTTTTTTTGCTGCGACACGACACGACGCGACGATAAAAATATACCTATATACACGTGACCCGTGAACGATGATAAAACGTTCACCCGTGCTATGATGGTCGATGTAATAGCGACGTAAATGGAAAATCGGTATGGAGAATCGTCACACTACCGTACCGAATAGTCAAACCGTCACGCCTTGTCGCGAGAATATATCACAAGTGAAGCAATAATTGTTCTGGTTGTCTGCATGCCAATTTTCCCAGAAACTCTGTCTGCGCAGTAATGCATTAAATTGAGTGCCTGTAATTAGAATGATATTGAAACAGAAACGATCTCAGTGAATGTTGTATCATATTTCTGTGATCGAAAACGGATAGGATAATTGGATACTACAAACTGGTAACGATTGTGCAGTATAACGCATAAGTAGGGCACTATCTCTATTTTTCTATTTTCCCATTTCTTAAGAAATATCTGAGGTCCTCTAATGGGGGTATAAAATCTTTACGAGTTCCTTCCCGGGGCTGGATAAGTACAAAAGGCTCACCTATGCTTTCAGACATCATGCATAAAGTGCGGCATGGCGTTATCCTTTGAGAGATGCAATCAGAAATTTATGGTCCTCGCTCGGCTTTCATTTTCGCGTGCAAACATAAAATACTACTAACAAAAGGCATTCAGAGGACAATAAAGAAGTCGTAACGAAAATTTCAAATCGAGGAGGAACTGTTCTAATTATATTGAACATCGCATTGTCTGAGTTAAGTACTTAGAATGCACGCGGTGACGATTTGGCCTAGAACCGTTGATTACTATTCGACGTTGTTTAGTACATCAAAAGCAATCCAGCATTTCTTTGACGAGTAATCAAGAACAGAAGTAGAGAACTTTATTGATTTAGATCATCGCAAATGCACTCCGACTGGCAGCTATGGAACGAAAAGTTCGAAGAGCGTCACGGTTTTAGTGACACTCTATCTGCCCCAGTATTCCATACCAGTCCTAAACGAAAGCATGTCAATGCCGTTTTACGACAATTATTATCGATCTCTCACTACCATACGGAGGATGTACAGTGCATTATGCATTCTGATTGCAGTGCTATTTGTTAATAAATTAAATACGTTCCACTTTTGAAAGTATACGAAGCAGTCGTTTAATTTAAAAGTCTACGGTAAGTAAACTGCATAAAAGCTTTCAATTTAAAAAATTGAAACTACTTTTACTCTTTAGAAATCATTTTAATAGTTGCGTATTCTTTACACGTTATATTATATTCTTTGCTTATCCAATTTTTCTATGAATATGTAAACAGACAATGGTATTATCTAATTAAATACTGTAGTATAACATAAATTATTTTCATTAAATTGTTGAATCAATTATGTCTCTCCAGTTTAATGTATGATAAATTATTATTACTATTATTATTGCAGCGAATCGCAGGAAATAATTGCTTGCTTTCAACGATCAAAGCGGCAAACGGAATAAAGCAACGCCGGGGGCAAATTTACTCTACCGAATTTCGGTTTTGTCAGGAGGGAAAGTTCCTCGAGTTGTGGTTCTGTATGATACACGGATCGAAACTGGGGTTCACGGTATGCATGGTAGAAGAAATTCACACGAAGGGTTGGAAACCAGAGGGGTTGATACGCCACCGAGCCCCGCAGTTCCGTTAGGGTAACATTTTCAGAGCAGACCAACCCTGCGATCAATTTACAGCTTGCTACAACTGGTCGTTACATACGACACTGCTGCTATACATGTGACGATTATAATTGTTACAAATAAAACCAGACAGTCATTTATTTTTAAATTTAATCAAGGAGCGATTGGAACGATAAAAATTGCATAATTATTGTGCACTTTTTTATGTATAAGGACGAATTGATACTTGCTGAAATTAATTAATCGTTTAAATGCTAAATTGAACGTGTTCTCGCTTTTGGTCCTGTTCCTTAAGAAGCAGATCTAATTGCACGTGAATTCAAGGCACGCGGACAGCCAAAACCGGAGCGGAATTAAAAATAAATAAAAACCGTGATGAGCATAATAGATTACGAGGCTTATTGCGGAGAGACAATAACGTAAAGGATGGGCGTCCGAATAAAGCGTGGGCGAGCAATTCAACAGGAGAGAATCATCGACACGTGTCTACGTTCTTCACTCACGATTTTCGGCTCTTTCACCTCGAAGCTTTCTCCACCACTCGACCCGCGGAGCAAACGGCCCGTTCGATGCCCGCTCCGTGTCTTATCCGGAATCGGAATTCCGGCAAGGCGACGAATCGCCTCGTCTCGTGTAACGCTCGAGGAGATCGAAATAAACCGCGGTATGGGACGGCAAACGCGAGCACCCGTCGCCTACACACGCTGCCGGTCCGTCCGACACTGATCGTACGCTGACTACTTTGCTGCGTGGTTTCGCAGCGGGAGCTGAACGGAACTCCCAGTGGGGGTAGCGGTCAGGAAATGGAACGAAGAGGGAAACACGATGCCTGATCAACCAAGGGTTGCAAGGAAGAAAAATGTCCCTTCGTACCGGAAAAATCGGTGGACTCCCTTGCTCGTCAAATTAGAACTACTACATTTTTTAATACCTTCAATTTTTTTAATATTCGAAAGATTAGAATGCAAGTTAATACAAGTTAATAGTAGACAATTTTTACTAAACACTATACTGATATCGATTTTCTTTAGCGACCCAGTTTTGTTAAATTGGTTTCATACACGTGTTCTAATGCTACCTTACGCGCATATGTATCAGTGATAGTTACGGTGCACCATAATTTCGGCTATTAGTACAAAGAACGATAACAAGTGTCCGAATACGATAATATACATCAGATTCCACTTGATCGTCGTTTGTTCGAATTCGTCTATGTTTACCGGAAGAGTTCTCCGCCGTTCGATCATTCCACTGAAATTCTGTTCCCACCTTGTTTGAATACCCGACGACACCAAACGTATTAGTATGTCATCGATCTCTTGCTTGTACGCCGAGCGAATGTCCAGGTAGTAGCCGATCGGCTGTTTCGCGTAGCACAACTGCGAGCTGATTTTCATAGCTTCTCCTCTCTTCCCGTATGAATAAATATACATCATGGCCAATCTCCTATCAAGGAAACAACTGGTGTTCTTATGCTTCGCCAAATACTCTACGCACTCGTCTTTGTCGGTAGAAGGTACAGCATTCTTTCTCAACGCTAATAACGCTGGGTCGTCGCTTATTTCGAAAGTCAGGTTGAACATCGAACTTACGATTTTGGGAGTCAATCCAGATCGACTAAACTCTTCAAAATTGTTATACTCTATCTCAGTTCTCTCTTCGAACCTCCTGCTGGCTAGAGTACTCAACACAGTGGATGCGCACATAGCTGAAATGAGCATGCCACTGCAGAATATAATGTTTTCAGCCGATTTCTTCGGGTTCATCAACGCCGGAACGCCTATTAACAACCGGTAGATTTCCAACGCTTGCCAGGTGCGCGGTTCGAACTTGAACGCTAGCGATATCATCCAAAATATGGGCAGCAACGAATGAAAGAGAATAACCCCATATAGGGCTTGTATTGAGATGGTATTTTTCTTGTAAAGTACCGGGACCAGCGGACACCAGTCCTCGAGTTCGAAAGCTAACGTTTTCTGATAATTCAAATATGTACTGACATGGAAGTACGGATGCATTGGAATAACTACGTCTGTGTGTACACTGAAAACAGTAACTAGTTTGAGTCTGAAATTTAGTGTGCTAGCAAGCGTTTTCATACTATTCACGCTCGGTCCTTCGTACTCCACTGAGTTCAACTGCGAGTCCGTCTTGAAAGAAATGTGTCCCGAGCGATTCCTTACGTACACCCAGAGTGGGTAACCGTAAAAATTCTTAGTTTTATCAGGGAACCAGCGCACGGCAGAGCTGTAGGGAAGTTTCTCGTAGATGTTCGTAAAAGGATTGTACTGATGCAGCTTAATGACTACCTCTCCATTACATTTTCCCACGTCCAGGATCGTTACGTGGAGGATACGCTCGTCCCACATCATCTTCATGAACGATTCGAAGTTGCTATCCCGTTCTTCCAACAGAGTTATCAGCAGAATTTTCGGATTTGCAATACTGCTTTGAATCATAACTTTGATCATGTACATCATTTCACGAGTGTCCGGGGCACGCTTCGAAGCGTAGACGTATAGAATTAACGTTTGGGCAGATACGTGGAAGGGTAGTAACTCCGGGGGTAACATCTTATTAATGGAAATAATGTTCGTTGGTGAGGCACGCGTCACGGTTTTGTAAATTTCGTTGACTACTTCAACATCATCACCAGAGATATTTTGCACGATGAATTGAACATCGAACGGTTTTACTTTTAATAAGAAGTCTGCAATCGGTTCCTTAATAACTGTTAAATAGCTCGAATAATTCAGGTGCTGAAGCGCCAGGAGACAGAGCGGTAAACTTATACTCATAGTTATTGTTGAGCGAACTGCTCTTACAGTTTGGTTTTGCAATACGTGAACCACTAAGAGAGAACTGAATTCAAGTTTCCTATTTTCCATTCTCTGACGTGAGAACTTCATTCCACCTGAGTGCAATAATAATTAATAATAAATTCGATGATAGGCAATGGCCATTGCGGTCAAATTACCGTTGCATTAGATATAAATCAAGATTAATCGTATTGACGTAATAATATTGCCATGAACGATGAAAAGAATTGAGTAATGATATCATTCACTCAATGATGTCAGCAATTATCTTCTGATGTCATTAATTTCCTTCCATTTATAATAACGAATTGTATAAACCTGTAATTAGTCCAACTGTCCTTCGAAAACAATTTTTTTTTTAAATGAGACGGATGACGCATTTTCGGAAAGAACCGTGTGACTGGTTTAAAAGAAGGAATTAAACGTTTCTGAGTTTAGAGACACGGCGATTCGTACTTGAATAGGAATTTATTTCAATGGGACCGAAGGATTTTTTCATTAATGAATTTTACCTGCGGTGAGCGTGCAGGCGGGCCTCATTAACACCAACGTCTATCTCTCAGGGTAATCGGTAATTCGAACGGCCTGGAGCCGATGCAAATTCTCTTTAATCGTACAAATCATCCTTGACGATGCATTACACCGGACATAATTATGATAATTTTATTAACCGCGATCATCGTACATTTTCAATCAGCTCAATAAATCTGATTAATGTTCCCCTACTTTAAAGTTGTTTGCTTCTAATTACATTGAACGAACGCAAGATCACGAACCGAGTTTCCAAGAACCGCGAGCTAACAACTGATTAAATAAAGATAAGATTGCTTCCTCTTTATCGCTTATCTCGTCGTTTAACAAAAATGAAGAAAAGGTAAAAAATAAATGTTCGATTTCCCAGTAATAATTGTAAGTAATTTATTCTCATATAATCCGGCTACAGTATTGAATGAAACTGTACGAAAAGTTTGAGGATATCAGTAATTGTGCAATTATGTACGGTATACCGTTGCAGTCGGACGGACGTCGATAAGAAAAAGGAAAATACGTAGGAGTATAAATAACGTGTCACTTAATCGAGTACATACACTTGCGACGTATAAACAAATGAGAATGACAATAGACTATATAAATTTGTATAAATTACGCGCGTAGCGATAGATTAGGAATAATCGTACTGAATGTACGCGCTCTCAGCGATAATTGCAACTGTCCATCGAAATTATCTTACTTTAATAGCCGTTACGATAATTTCATGCGCGTTTAATATTGTACGTATATATATATATAATATATTATGCATATTACAAATAATATCGACGACACGCGTATACATGTGTGTGAGTGCGCCTTGCTCCTTTATTTCCGCGCAAGGACTAGAGTGAAGCATGAGAGGAGGACGATTAAAACGAAGCTGGGAACGAAGCCAGTTATGGTTCCGCTTCCATTCCAACAGACGTCTAGGTTGCAGTGCTTGAGGACCGGGTTGAATCTTTGCTTCAGATACTGCCAGTCGCAGAGACCTACGTCGCAACCGTCGAACATGACCAGCTTCTCCGCCAAGTAAAACATCACTTTGTTTGGTTCTCGGGTGTCGTCGCATCTGGGAATTAAAATAGAAACATTTTCCTGAACGAACGCGTCTCCACTCGTGGTTCATCGCTTCTCCAGACGATTCTTATTGAACGTCGGCATCGCTTGAAAATTTAGCTCACTTGTAAAGTACAGCGACTAGATTGGCAGCGAATGACGACATGAAGGAGGTTCGCCAATGACGTTTCGCCATTTCCTTGTAATTGAACGCGGTCGGCTCCATTTGATCCTTATTGATGTTTAACGTGGTCAACAAGTTCTGCAGACTTATGATATCGCTGAAGTAGAACACGCCTCTGGGTCGGATCTCATCTGCCTGCGTCGCTTTCCTGTGACACGAAGCACGACGACGTTTATCGCCAATCGATGTGGTAAGTATAGAATTTATTGTGAAACAGGATGTAGGTAGAACAGGAAGAATGGGATTGATTATGGGGCGAGATTACCAAAAATGATTCAGCATGTCCTGCAGAAGCGTGCATCCTAGCTGAGCGTTGATTGCGCATCCGTATCCGGCTTTGTGGTAATAGTTGAGATCCTCGCGATACTCAAGCACACGAAGTTCCTCTTTGCTGAAGACGGCGCACCAAGGAGAAAGCTGCGTGACCGTCCACGCTTTTGCGTAACGGCACATATCGTACATCGTCAGGATCGATTCTGAAAAATTGCATCAGCAGAGATCATCAGTCATTGACGTTAAGACGAAGATGCTTGAAATATACCTTTGGAGATGTCGTACAGAAATCCGAGACGTCGACTGACGTTGCTTATCAAATTTTGAAACTGCACTTCTCCTTCGAACGCGATTACCTCGTTGGAAGTGTTGCTACGCCCGCCTTCCCATGCGTTGCACGTTTTGTACAACTGAATAAAAAAAAAAAAGATTATCTTCCCTCTATTTAAATAAGTTCAATTCGGTACTCACTGTGAGCAAGGTGTCATTTACAGGGACGTCCTCCGCCTCCACCGCGTCTCTATTTCCGAACAATCCTTCCATGAAGGACTCCATGCTGTCTCGAGCGTCGGTAGACTTGAACTGAAAGCGTCTCGACGTTTAGAGATAAATCTAGCAGCTTTCAAATTTTTTTCCAATTTTCGTTGCGCCGCACGTACCACGTAATTCTCCGTTAGGTAACTCCGGTCGCTGCTCGTTTCAAGAAGCTGTGGAAAATTGCTTTGCAATCGTCTCGCCAGCAATTTCATATCCTCGACGCCCTGCGGTGTCAAAACTTCCGCCCTCTCGGCTGCGAGATAGGCGCCCGGCTTCCATTTTTTCAAATTTTCTAAATCCCTATTGCACATGCGACCGTCTGCAAAAAAATAAATTAAAATAATTTAATTCGTTCTTCTATTACGTTTTTTAAAATCGATATATTAAATGTCTGCTGTATTTGCTTCATCTGCACAGAAACCGAACTTTCATGATAAGACGCGTTGTACACCGAAATATCTGTAGACCCATTTATGCGTGTAATCAATAAAACTAGAGCTAACTAGGGCCAACTACTGGAAACATAACTATAGATCGGCATATGAGACAAAGCGTGGCGAAGATCGATACGTAAAAGTGTCAATGACCTGAATTACCGGCGAACTGGTTCACCGGCGTTCGCCATAGCAGGCGGAACATTTTTCTCGGAACCTAAGCGATGAATAACGCCAGTTGGACACGCTCCGCTTCTACTTTTACGTTTCGGTTCAATTGTACTCACTGTTTCGCGTCTCGTGATTGTTAATGATCTGATCCTGGAGCTCCGTGAGCTTCACCATTTCGCTGATCTCGTCTTTCGTGGGACACTGAGTGCCGTGCGTGGCGAACATCCAAATTTGCCTCGGACGGCATCCTGTCAAATAGAAATGTCGATTAATGTAATTTCGCTTATTCTCTTTTAATCTTTACCTGAAGCACTTACTAGGTACTTCTTGGAACCGAGTTTTGCCGCCGTGGACAAAATGGTAGGCAGTCTTCGTAGCCATGTACAGATACGGATCGTCCTCGTCCGCGAAGCAATAGTCCACGTCACGCGCATAAACGTGACTTATTAAAAAAATCAGGAAGAACAGCGACGCGTTCATTTTAAAACCTGTCGAGTCTGCAACGCGAAGAGAAACGTCTCGTTAAATTTTTTCCTGCCGTTTGCCTTGTCACTATTTTTTTTACTCGCGTAAAAAGGGGAGAAATGTAACGGCTCTGCGGCGCGAAATTCTTGTCAGGATTCATAAAACGCTTTTTGCGTTCATTGAAGTACGGGCAGCAGCAGTAAACCTACATTTTCCTGTGCTGATGTCACGTGCTACTTTACCAGCTTCACGAATCGCGACGAACTAGACGTATGTACGTAAAATAGACGTTACGTAACTTGGTTATTTATTCTATTTTTCATGGTTAAACGCTGGAAAAAAACGCACCGTGATTTGTCCTCCATCGCAGCCTTAAGGCTTACGTAATCGATAAATCCACACGCGTGACTCTAATGTAATCTTCAAATTATACTTAAGTACATATTTAATATTTATTCAAAGGTCTATTAAGTACAATTTGAAGACTCGTCATCTTCACGATTTTTCAAAAAATAATCTTCACGTTTGCCTAGGCTTGATTATTCACGTTTGTAATGCCTGCGCGAGAAGTTGCACGTGCACCAAGGTGAAGGATAAACGGGAAACATGGACGTGAATGTGAAAGCCAAGACGTGCTCACGCATTACGCGGACCGACAGTCGTATTGCATAATTCCTAAGCTGGAAACAGGTTCCGCTAAAGGCCTAGTTGCAACTTTTTAAGGAGCGCAACGTTTGTTCTCCTTTTATCAAACTTTACACCTGACGCTGCTAATTACATAGCCGCAGTTAGCAGATCTCGAAGTATAGGATATGAATTATATTAAGTTTCATTTTTAATAGCCACATCATTTATTTCTCTGAACGTAGACGAATAAAATGTGCTTTCATTAAGGGTCCATGAGGGCGGGATGATGTTAAAAGAGCAATTCAAAGATTAAGTAAGGTTGACGATAACGTAATTGCCTGGTGGCTCGATTAGCGAAGCCTTCTTTCAGTCTAATAAGTCTACTTGGCCTACTTATTGCTAATGTCTTGTGTCCGCAAGTGGCGAACGTCGCTTAAGCCTGGTACCGATCTGATTCTTCCGTCAAATCTCGTGACATTAAATATTACAATTCTGCATTATAATTTCGATTTGAAAGCTGCGTTTGTAATCAAATATCGGTGCGCATAGATACGCTCGTTTGCTAGCGATCGACTCTAACTCAATTACCAATTGTACCTGGTCATTCGATTGCTGAATCATTCTAGAAGAATGAACAAAACAGTCCGTCCCACGCGATAAACAATGCAACGGACAGTAGTTCGTATTTGATAATTGAGAACAAAAGTAGGACGTAAACGTTACGCTCGACGATCTCGACTAGTACGTTCCACCGGTTTAATTATTCATAGACAGGCACACGCGTCTATTTATTCAAATGAAATTCCTCGTAGATGTGTAAGCGACGTTTTATTAAAACCTGAATGAAATAAATTTCATACCTCCCCTCACCCTGTGTTTCATCCGCGCCGCTTTCACGACCTGCCTCAAATACCTTTTACTGAGTATGAAATATTTTATTACGTTGCGTTTTTCATCTCAGACCGCAAGAATCATCTTTGTGATCTTATCGCAAAATAAATACGTCCAGCGTACATAAAAGTACCCTGGACTTCTGGGTAATGGAAACGGAATTTGATGCAATTCACATCGAGCAAAAATAATAGAAACATGCTGCTAAGCGTAAAAAATTTCATTTTCGTCGAGGAAATTACCGCAATCTCTGTAGCCGGTGTTTTAAACTTCACGCCCTGTTTAGGCGCATCAAATCGGACGCGGGTACGTGAGCAGAAAAGGTCGCGAGGAAAGTCTCAATCGGCGGTGTGTCGTACTTTTCACTTTTCTTTGATCCGCAGAACGCCTTGCCCTCCTCTTGTTCAAAACTAGGTTCTATAAATGTTTCATAAACATTTCGACACAATCAATCGTTCTCGGAAGCCTACGGTCGTCTCCTCCTCACTGCGTCCCAGTTGCAAATAGTATAGAAACTATAGTTGGCGATCGTTTTTTTTTACAATTGACAGAATTAGAGAGTCTTATATGCGAAAAAACGGCAGGATTCGATTTAAACAGTCCCAGTTAGGAATTTCTACGAAGTATTCTGGCGATTTCAACGACTCCCGTACACTGGCACTATGTCACCGCTGACAATCTCAAGCAAACTGCGAAAAGAGCGTCGTGCACCGGTTTGTCGATCGCGGACCACCTCTCGAGGCGGCAGCTTGTATGCCACTGCCGCCGTAAGGTCGTCGAGCTTCGTTGCTTCTGCCTCTCTATATATACCGTGTAAAAGTCGTATAGTTGCTACGACCAGTACCCGCGGAATCGCGTGATACTGTTCCACCGTAGCCTCTGATCCTTCACCGGACCAACCGTTTCATGCGTTCTAGAAAATCGCGGTAGTTCGTTACTTTGAGCACGCGCGATCGATAAAGAAAGAGTTGGGGTTGCGAGGCCCCCATGGTTACGTTTAAATGCCTGGTTGTAATATTCGTTGAGTCCATTGAGGGGCCATTGATTTCTGGAACTGTAGGGTGCGGATACTTTCGACCGTACCTTAATAAACTATACAATTCGAATAATGGTTATAATATTTTTTTTATACATGATTCATCGTGTCATTTAAGTACCGTGGCCGTACCGTGATCACTATTCGTCACGGTAGGTCAGGTGCCACTGACATAAGGTCGTCAAGCTCCGTTGCTTCCCATCTGTACAGCCTATGCCATTTTATACTCTGTTAAAACCAAGGAATGATTCCTATAGCGAACAAACAGCCGGATCTTTTTACAATATTTTTATTTTCCGATAAAAATTGTATAACGCTGTTACATGTTTGAATATTCTTATATAACCGAGGTAATTTTTAAACAGATACGACGAAATCGAATAATGGTAAATTTTCAATACTGATAATTGTATATGCACAGTTGAAATGTTGTATGCACAGTTGCGAACAATCGTTCATCACGCCAGCTTATATGACAGTAATATAAGGTCGTCTGGCTTCGTTGCCTCGGACACGTGTATTACTACACGCGCGCGGGTCGTCAAGACTGTAATTTCTTCCATATGATTCCTGACAAAAGCACATCTGATACGGTGCTCGTAATCACTCGGACAGAATCGTTCTTACCATTATGTGATTTCATCGCCTCCTGTTGTTTTCTTTTTTATGCGACTCTTGAGGCGATCGATGACCCGTCGAAAGAACCGGTGCACCGGCGTCACTTCGAACAGAAATCTGTGTCGCAGCTGAACGCGAATTCCATTTTCTTTTTCAAGTACTCCCAATCGCAGACACCCGCCTCGCAACCATCATAATCGAGAGGTTTCTCGTTCAAATAGAACCTCACCTTGTTCCCAGAATCGCACCTGGAAAAGATATGAATAAAAAGCACGAGGCGAGGAATCAAATTATAATTTACGAAAAACATACTTGTAAAAGATTGCAGCGAGATTCGCAGCGAACGGTACGAGATGAGACGTGTTCCAGGTTCTATTTCTCATGTTCTCGAAATTGTTGGCTTTAAGAGGTGTCGCATCCTCCGCAATGCCCATTGCTGTGAGGAGCAGCTGGATCCCGGAACTGTGAGCGAAATAAAAGATACCTCGCGGCTCCTCCGAGTCCCCGTTCTCAAGTTTCCTAAAATGTCAGGGATATATGTTAAGTTCTTCAGTTAAGTAAGTTAAGTTAAATTCGTTAAGCATCGCTTACACGAAGTGATTAAACATGTTCTGCAATGGTGGACAGCCGACAGCTCTGCTCAGGTTTCGACCATAACTAGCGTGATAGTAATAATGAAGATCCATCTTGTACTCGATTACTTTTAACTCATCTGCTGTGAAAGCTGTGCACCAGGGAGATTTCTTCCCGATGTACCAGGCGCTCTCAAAAGCGCAAGCATTGTGCATGAGCAGAACGTCGTCTAAACAATTAATTAATTAATTAGCGTCTACAAATGCGAAGGTAGATTCTTAAATCTGCAGGAATACCAGAATTAAGATTTTCCTTAAAACCGAGTCGTCGGCTGACATTATGAACTACTTGAGTGAACTGTGATGTATTTAAAAACTTGTCCACTTCATCGTCTTCATTGTTAGATTGTTCCGCCCATGCCTTGCAATTCTTGTAAAGCTAAAAATGATTTAGAAAAATTGTAAGTTTTTTCAAACATTGATCAAATTAATTTTCTTACGGACTGTCAATAAATAGTCTTCAGAACTCGGTATCACTTCCGTGTTACCAATGGTCACGTTGCCAAAGAGACCGTTGATGAAACGTTCCATGCTGAGAACCGTACGCTGGGTATCCGTCGATCTGAACTATAATTAAAATTAAAATGAATAAATCCAATACGAGAATCCAGCAGGAAGATTTTGTAGAATATCTTAGAACTTACTTTGTATCCATCTTCCAAGATTTCATCCGGACGAGATCGCAGGAGTTCAGGGAAATAGTTTTTGAACCGCCTAGCGAGCGACAGTAAATCCTCTTCACCTTGCTTCGTTAAATACTTTTTATTTGATTTGCGAACGCTCGGATCCAGCTCCCACGATTCTAATTCTCTCAGGTCACTACTGCACAAGCTACCGCCTGGCGCGCGACAGATTAAATTATTCAACAGATAAATAATCCTCTTCAACTTCGTACTTACGCCCGTGTTTCTTGTGATTTTTAATAATGCTCTCTTGAAGATCCGGCAAGTCATTTTTCATACTCTTTATTTCCTTCTTAGTCGGATAACGTGTCCCGTGTCTCGCTAGCATCCAGATTTGCACTGGCTCGCAGTCTTTCAAAAGCAACACGCTCTTTACAACTTATAATTGTATTAAATCATTATTACTTACTTGGCACTGTGACGTTTTTAATCAAACCATGCTCGTTTTCATAAGCCGTGAGTGTAGAATAATACAAATAGGGATTCTCGTCATCGTGATAACAGTAATCGCTCAAAACTATTCGATTATTTATGCACACTAGTGCTAAGATCGCGAAGATTTTTGTATGCAACATTTTCTTTTCTTAACCAATGCTGTCTGAAATTCGAGACGACGTGTCTTAAGGAAACTGTGCGCACGATTCCATAAAGCTGTTACGCGTGATGATGAGAGACTAGTTCGAGCACCGTTACTCACCTGCGATCGACTGCTGAAAGCGCTATTAATGCGCCGTTCTCGTCTTTTATACAGAACTATCAAGCCTGTGTTTGACACTTGACTGAATTCGATGAAAGACGCTTGTGACATGTTTATTAGAATTGCTAATAAGAACTGAAAGAAAAAGAGAGAGAAGAGCTATCATACAATGTAATAACCGTTCCTTGGAAGTAGGTGATTATATATTGACAATTATACATATAATGTATATATATACATTGATGATTTGATAATGTATTATCTCCATGAAATTGATGAGTTATCGATATCACGTGTTTTCGAAAAAGATTAGAAATGAGTATCATTGAACGTTGGGAAAATCTGATAGTAATTGAAAAGAATCAGGCATTATTAATTGCGATTTATTAAGTTTTATGATACAGCGTTTCATGTATTATCTCCATGAAATTGATGAGTTATCGATATCACGTGTTTTCGAAAAAGATTAGAAATGAGTATCATTGAACGTTGGGAAAATCTGATAGTAATTGAAAAGAATCAGGCATTATTAATTGCGATTTATTAAGTTTTATGATACAGCGTTTCTTTACATATCTTTGAAATAGATAAGATATAATCGTAAACTAATTTGCTAAAGGCCATGAATCATTTTAATAAACATGACTCATGACTTTGACGTATTCGTAGACCTGAGCCGTTTCTTTTCTCGGTTGAATTTCGAACCAGAATCCATTTATCGGCATAAAATTCATCTTAGTTTTATCAAAAACTAAAGGTATAGTCGTCTTCGGACAAGGGATGATGTTACACCTGGCAAACACGTGGAACAGGAGCACCTTCACTTCTAATAGAGCGAAGCGGTTTCCTATACACATCCTCGGACCTAAACCGAACGTCAGAAGGCTGTTGGGATCGAGATCCTTCTTGGCCTGGCCCAAAAATCGATTCGGATCGAACTTATCTGGGTTCTTGAAATACTTCTCGTCGCGTTGAATGCCGTAAATCGGGAACTGAACGCAGTCTCCCTTCTTGACGACGAACGGTTTCGCACCTGGCAAAGCTGGTGGCAGTTCGAATCTCTCGCTGCAAATTCTGTCGGTGAACGGTTGTACGGGATACATTCTAGTCGTCTCGTTCACCACAGCGTCCAAATACTCCATACCCATGAGAGCGTCGTAAGTGACGTCACCATGCTCCAACAAAACTCGATCGATCTCTTCCTGTAACTTCTTTTGTATCTCTTGATTCACGCCGAGCTCGTAAGCGGCGAAAGACATGGTAGTTGCGACGGGATCGAAACCAGCGAGGAAAAAGATAAACCCTTGAGCTGTTATATCCGCCGTCGTCATGCTCTTTCCTGGACCCAATTTTTTTCTACTCTCCATCATCGTTTGGATCACATCCGGCCGGTTTATGCCTCGTTCTTCTCTGGTTTTTATATTGTTATCAATCATGTCTATGAAGAACTTCTCTATCTTCGATTCGACTATCCTCAAATTCAATAAATTGCTTAACCATGGTAAATTTCTTATAATGAAGAATTTTATCAACTTATTCATGTCTAAGTTATTCAGCGACTTTCCACAAGTGTAGAACTCGTTGTTTTCGTCTTTCATGGAGTCTATATCGATACCGAAGGCGCACGTGGCGATAATGTCGGTCGCGTATCTACTGAACACGTCCTTGAGCTCTAATTCTGTCTGATCTGTCTCCGGCAAACTTGTCAGATTCTCTCCGTATTTTTTCGCACAGTCGTTCATTAGACCGAACATGGTTTTCAATTTGCTGGACGTAAACACTGGGCTCATCGTGTTTCTCACTTCCTTCCATTTCTCATCTTTGAGGAAGAACAGATTCTTGCTGAACAGAGAATCGGTCTTGTCGAGTAAGAACGTGCGATGGTTTACGAAATGGTCGAAATTTTTCACGCTAATGGACTTGATCAGTTCAATGTCGCGGATGACGATGGTCGGAAAAGAGAAATCATAGAAGACGATGTATTTTGCGTCCTTATTGGTATTGTAAGTCTCCTTAACAACGTCGACGAAGGTAGCACGTTGGAGGAATACTTTCCAGGTGCTTCCAAAGATCGGGACGCCCTTGCTACGAGGTATTCCGTGTTTCTCGAACACGTCTTCTCGTGTGAAGTAATAATACGCTGCCACAGCTATAGCACCAAGTGCTAAAATAATGGACAACGAGTCCATCGTTAATTCTTTATAATTTACTTTTCTTCTCTCTTTCAATTTCGCTTCTCGAAAATTGAATTAGAGTTCCACTTTGTTAGATTATTTTTTATTCAGCATTCATGTGCGTTGCGCCGGAGAATTCTGAAAGCAAACTAATATAAACATGATCTGCGTTGTAGAATGACTCGCATTAAAAATGGAGAAAAGTAGGGAGTATCATTCGTATAAAATGCTGAATTGGTAGAGTATGTACTTAAAAGGAGACTTATCAATAACAAATATTGCTATCTTCATGTTCGCAAATAGCTGCGCAATATTTTCAAAAGGAGATATACATGTATGTGTATATTAACACGTTCCGTGCCAAGCCATTTTTGCCTGACTTGTCGTTCAGGCCATTTGATATTTTGACTAAAGATCGATATATTATCATTAAATGTAATTATTAATTATTGTATACATAACAATTAAATAAACTTATGTGTTTTGTTCTTTACTGCATCTTGTATAATGCTTCATTTTTTAGGTAGAAATATAGTTTACAGAATTATATTTGTATTAAAATATATGTTTTCAGCGCATTAAATAAATATGACTGCGTGTACCACCGGTGGTACACGTGGCCTGACGATCAAGTTTACCGTGTACCACCGGTGGTACACGTGGCACGGAACGTGTTAACTTATGTTTCATATCAGTTTGTTATATCGGGCAGGCTACTCACTAATAACGCAATGAATAAAACTGAAAGTCATTGAACACTTATGTGAATTTTGAATTATTTCACTAATATATATGTACATCCGGTCCTCTGCACTCCCTAATTTCCTATCCCTATTCCTATTCTTTATACCTATATCTCGTAAAAGACGAGACACTTTATACACACCAGTCCGTCATTGCTAAGTTATCGCTCTCGAGATTAGGAGTTCGGCAAAAAACCTGTTACTCCCCCGCAGAGTAGACCGCAGAAAAAACGTAAATGTTTGACGGTCCACAACTTTGCAATAAATAACTATAAACAGATGAAACTTCCGACCTTTGGAGCAGAACAGCCTCGCCTTAAAAATGCCATTTGATTCATCTTGATACAACGTCCGCTTCCGGAGATATCGTCGTCGTGTGAAGACGATCATAATTTCTCGGCGCCTATCATTGCCCTTCTCGCAAATTGACTGAGTCCCGGAACTGCCCCAAACTCCCAACAAACGATCTAGACGCCCAGCAGATATAGCGTAACTAGGTCACTGTGCCAGACGCTGGGCCTAAACTTTAGAAGCGTAGATCTTCGAAACGGACTGAGATGTCGGGATAAATCAAAAGCGATCTCTTTCGTCTTTATTTTCTCTATTAATTCAGAGGGTTCTCAATCAAAAATTCAATCACCCTATTAGTGGTTAATAATAATGAAACTAGAAATCAGTAGCAGGAGCATACGTCTATCATCGTGCAGAATCATTTGCGTGGTGTAACAGGGGATGATTCCCGATCTCAAGATTTGAGGACTGATTATTTGATTAAGGATCATGAAATAAAAATGTCAATAACAATTTATATTCGAAACAGTCTTAAATGCGATTTCAATAAGAAATAATAGAAAGTGTCAGGGCTATTTTGCAAAGATGACAAAAGGATTACATAGTAAAAGAATTTCGCAGTAAATTCGCAATAAATTTTATTATTTCGTTCATTTCCTATGTGTGCGTTAGGATTGTTTAATCTGCAGTTATGTGATAGTATTACTTTTTTATATTATACATATATTTGAAAGACTCCTCGCAGGATTCAGTAAAGATAACCGCAACTGTTTTACTTGGGGCTATTATCGTCAATTCACATCCTTGTTTGTGAGGACCTTGGTTGAACGTTGAACCAGAACCCATTTTTCGACATCATATTGGACGTTTTTGTACTGAAGACTATTGGTATTTGCGTCTTGGCGCAGGGCTTCAAGCTGCACATCGCAAACACGTGGAACAGAAGAACCTTTGTCTCGAGCAAAGCGAATCGATTCCCTATGCACATCCTTGGGCCCAAACCAAACGTCAAATAGGTAGCCGGGTTAAGTTCTCTTTTCCCGTCACCCATGAACCGCTCTGGCTCGAACTTTTCCGGGTTCGGGTAGTACCTCTCGTCACGGTGAATACCGTAAACGGGTACCTGCACGTAACTTCCCTTCTCCAGGACGTACGGCTTCGCACCCGGCAATGTCGGAGGCAGTTCGAACCTTTGATTACAGACCCTGTCGGTCATCGGTGTTAACGGGTACTTCCTTAAAGTCTCGGTAACTAGAGCATCCAAGTATTTCATGCCCATCAGAGCTTCGTACGTGACTTCACCGTTGCATTTATCCAAAACTTCGTCGATCTCTTCGTGCAATCTTCTTTGAATCTCCTCGTTGATACCGATCTCGTAAGCGGCGAAGCACATGGCAGTGGAGACGGGATCGAAACCGGCGAGGAAGAAGATGAATAGATGTGCGGTCAGATCGAGCACCGTCATTTTTTTCCCCGGCTCTAATTTCTCCTTATTTGTCTCCAGTAAGGACTGAATGAAATCTGGTCGGCTGACACGATTCTCTTCTCTGTTCCTTATACTTTCCGTAATCACGTCTACGAAGAACTTCTCCATTTTCGGCTCGACAAATCTTAGTTTCATCAAGTTAGCCAACCATGGTATGTTTCTCAAAAAGAAGAATTTTAACAACCTAAGTCCAGAGAAGTTTTGTACATACCGGCCGTACACGTAGAACTCGTTGTCCCTATCCTTCATCGAATCTATAGCAACACCGAAGGCGCATGTGGCGATCACGTCGTTGGTGTATCTATTGAACGTGTCCTTGAGCTCTAACTCCTTTTGATCACCGGGCAAATTTGCCATGTTCTCCCCATATTTCTTTGCACAGTCACTCATCAGCCCGAACATATTTCTCAATTTGCTGCCCGTGAATGCCGGACTGACGGTGTTTCTTACTTCTTTCCATCTATCATCCTTAAGGAGGAAAAGATTCTGCGTGAATAGGGGATCGTTTTTCTCGCTGGTGAAGTTTCGATGATTCACAAACTGATCGAAATGTTTCACGGTGATGGATTTGATCAGCTCGACGTCGCGGATAACGAATGTCGGCACCCACGTATCATAGACAACGATGTATTTAGCATCCTTGTGTGTTTTGTAAATATCGTTGATCACGTCGCTGAAGCTACGGCGTTGAAAGAAGATTTCCCAAAAACTACCGAGAATGGGAATCCCTTTATTGACAGGTATCCCATATGTTTTATACTCATTTTCTTTTATGAAGTAACGATACACTGCCCAAATTATGGCGCCGATTGCCAGAGTAATAAACCACGGCTCCATCGTTAATTCGTTAACAAAATTCGTCTCTCCTATCACCTTCAGCTTGTTCCGTTTTTCTTTAAAACAGATATAAGTGAGAACAACAGTTGATTCAATTTATTTAATTACTTCTTGAATTGAGAGAGTTGCGTTAGAAATGTGATATCTCAATGAACGCTGTAGCGGAACTGAATGATATCTTCAGCAGCTTCGTGCCTGTTACATATATAAGTGGAAGTGGAAACATGGAGAACACTATGTTATCTTAGATATCCCGGAGCAGTATGTAATCCGGTTATTAACTGTTTGTTGTTTGAAAACAAGTATAAGTATGTGTATAATAGTATGTGTAAATAATGTTATCAAGAAGATAGTTAATTATCAGTATTATAAATTACTTGATTGGAAGTGACGATAGAAATGATTTAATTACAAATATAAAGGCAGTGAAACAGACTTCCTTGTAAGGAATTTTTATGTTAGTATTAATTGTGAGAAGAACCAGTTTATTCTTCCTTGCGGCGTATTTCAAGATGGACATAACTACAGTTATACTTGGCACTCTGAAGACGAGCGCATATACATATGTAATTCGTCACTTGCTAGTGTCAAGTTCTGATTGATGTCAAGGGGGAATCTTGTGATTAGTGGACACGAAACGAATAGACGGAAAAGCATTTGGTTTATTCATAGTAGAGTCCGAATACACAACAATAGGCATGAAATGTCCGAGCTTCGTATGTAAATAATGAATAATTATCCTTCTCTGCGTCCCAAAGAAATCCCATGGACGTCTGTAGAGATTGGCCACCTTTTTCTACAATCGTCACGTTTACTACGATTTTGTATCTGAAAACAATGTGACAAAGTGCATACTGGCTTGTTAATCATTATCGTTATTTTTCATAAAAAAAATCTGCAGTCTATCTGTATCATAAATAGATCGCGTATAAACAAGTTCGATATTAATTATACCTGTCGAAGTTCAATTTTCTTATTTTTTCCCTAATATCTGTAGCCACCGATTCGCAAACCTTTGGACACTCCGCTGCATCGTAAGATATATCTTCCAATTTATTAATCATCGCTGTCTTTACAATCTTATCCACGGGATCTATTTTGAACGGGTTATGCGCCATCAGACGATAAGTATTTTGATACTTCGGCATCTACCAATAAGTACGAGGAACAAAAAAAAGATTGAAGATATGAATTAACTCAAATGTCAGACAATTTCGCATTTAGCTTTGTTCTCAAGATCATATTGATAAAATCAATAGGATGATGCAAGAACCAAGCGAAGTTTACTAAAAATAGGTAATGTAATTTGTAATCGCTCTTACCTCGTGTTCATTATTGTGATTTATCAGATGGTTATCCACGTTCAATTGCGAAGGCATAATTAATTATATATGATTCACGCGAAATTAAAGATATCTGATTCGATGACTAATAACTGTTCTTGATAACGATACTCGAATTCCTGGTACCCACTCAATTCTAAGTCACTTAGGAACCAAAGTAAACAGAGTTGATTGATCAATCCTATATTTACAAGATCAATAAAACTACCACCGTAGTAATGAATATGTATTTTACAACATAATACGAATAAATCCTGTTTATACTAAAATAGTATTTGGATATTTTATCATTTTTAAAAGTTTCAGATTTTTCA